AAACCATCTCTACTCAAAATATAAAAATTAGCTAGGTGTGGTGGCGGGCACCTGTAATCCCAGGTACTCAGGAGGCTGAGGCAGGAGAATCACTTGATCCTTGGAGGCAGAGCTTACAGTGAGCTGAGATCTTGCTGCTGTACTCCAGACTGGGAGACAGAGCAAGACTCTGTCTCAAAATACAAACTATATTAGATATTGATGAATTATATATATTTATGGAATAAAAGTGATACTATAATATATGTGTACCAGGTATACATATATTCTGTCACCTCAAATACCTATCATTTTTTTCTTTCTGCCTAACTGAAGCACTACACCCTTTGATCAACATCTCCCCATTTCCCTCACTCCCAGCCTCTGTTAACCACCACTCCTTCTACCTTTATATGTTTGATCGCCTTAAAGTCCACAGGTGAGAACTTGCAATATTTGTCTTTCTATGCCTAGCTCACTTCACTTAGCATCAAGTCCTCCAGTTTCACCCAGCTTGTTGGAAACAGCGTAATTTCCCTATTTCTTTAAGGCTGAATAGTATTCCATGGTATACATACAACATTTTCTTTATCACTTCTTGTGACATTGAGGATGGTTCCTTGTCTATTGTGAATCATGCTGTAATGAGCATGGAAGCACATACTTCTCTTTGGCATAATTATTTCAAATTCTCTGAATATACACAGGGAAGTAGGACTGCTGGATTATATGGTAATTCTGTTTTTATTTTTGTTTTGAGGACAGTCCATACTGTTTTGCATAATGTCTGTATTGATTTACATTTCCACCAACAGTGTACAAGGGTTCGTTTTTCTCCACATCCTCACCAACACTTGTTACCTTTCATCTTTTTGATAATAGCCATTTCGACAGATGTGATATCTCACTGTGATTTTTAATTGGCATTTTCTTGATGAAAAGAATGTTGAGCATTTTTTCACATATCTGTTGGCCATTTGTATGTCTTCTTTTGAGATTATCTTTTTATCTCTGGCCAGAGTACTCCAAACAGCTTTTCTTATGTCTTTGCTCATTTTTAAAAAATTGGGTTACTTATTTTCTTGCTATTGAGCTTCTTACATATTTTGGATATTAACTTTATCAGATGTATGGCTTACAAATATTTTCTCCCCTTCCATAGGTTGCCTCTTTATTGTTTTCTTTGCTGTGTGGATGTTACTGAGTTTGATATAACTCCATTTGTCTAGTTTTGGTTTTGTTGCCTGAACATTTGGGGTCAAATCCAAAAAAATCATTGTCTAATGTTGTATAGTCTTCTCTCTGTTTTCTTCTAGTTTACAGTTTCAGATCTTAGGTTTAAGTCTTTAGTCCATTTTGAGTTGATTTTTGTACATACGCTTCTTCACCTATGATAGGGTTATATCTCAAACCTATCATAAATTGAAAACATTGTAAGTAAAAAGTGCATTCATTACAGATAATCTAGTATACATCATAGCTTAGCCTCGCCTTCCTTAAACATGCTCAGGAGGCTGGGCACAGTGGTTTACGCCTGTAATCCCAGCACTTTGGGAGGCTGACGTGGCTGGATTACCTGAGGTCAGAAGTTTGAGACCAGCCTGGCCAACATGGCAAAACCTCACCTCTACTAAAAATACAAAAGAATTAGCTGGTCATGGTGGCACTCACCTGTAATTATAGCTACTTGGGAGGCTGAGGCAGGATAATCACCTGAACCCAGGAGGCGGAGGTTGCAGTGAGCCAAGATCATGCCATTGTACTCCATCCTGGGCGACAAAGCAGGACTCTGTCTCAAAAAAACAAACAAAAAACCATGTGGCACTGTTTACAATAGCAAAGACTTGAAACCAATCCAAATTCTCATCAATGATAGACTGGATAAAGAAAATATGGCACATATACACCATGGAATACTATGGAGCTATAAAAAAAGATGAGTTTATGTCCTTTACAGGGACATGGATGAAGCTGGAAACCATCATTCTCAGCAAACTGACACAACAGAAAACGAAACACCGCATGTTCTCACTCATAAGTTGGTGTTGAACAATGAGAACACATGGACACACGGAGGGGAATATCACACACTGGGGTCTCTTGGGGGTCGGGAGATTGGGGAGGGATAACATTAGGAAAAATACCTAATGTAGATGATGGGGGGAGGGATGCAGCCAAGCACCATGGCGTGTGTATACCTATGTAACAATCCTGCACCACCTGCACATGTACCCCAGAACTGTGTAATAATAAAATGCTCAAGATACTTACATTAGCCTACACTTGAGCAAAATTGTCTGACACAAAGCCTATTTATAATAAAGTGTTGAATATCACATGTTACTGTACTGGAAATGAAAATAGGAATGGCTTGCTGCTGTTGCCCAGCGCTGCAAGAGATTATAATGCTACCTATCACTAGCCTGGGAAAAGTTCAAAATTCAAAAATTAAAGTATGATTTCTATCATATATGTATTACTTTTGCACTATCATAAAGCAAAAAAGAAATCAAAATCAAAAACCAGTATAAGTCAGGGACCATCCATATATGGTGTGAGATAAGAGTCTAATTTCATTCTTGATGTTGCTGTTCAGTTTTCCCAACACCATTTATTGAAGATCCTTTCAAGAAATAACCTTTTCTCACTGTGTATTCTTGGCAACTTTGTGGAAAAGCAATTTACCTTAAATGTGTGGGTTGATTTTTGAGCTCTTTATTCTTTTCCATTGGTCATTGTATCTATGTTTATGCCAGTATCATGCTGTTTTAACTATAATAGCTTTGTAATACAATTTGAAGTTACTTTCTGTGAATTCTTAGAAGTGCCATGTTTTAACCACATCAGCACAAATTTAAATTTGAATATATTCTCAAGGAAAATTAAAAAAAATGTTTTGTTCAGTGATACATCTAAGACATGGAAGATTCCTTGACACATAGTAGACACTTAACAAATGTTTGATAACTGAATACAATTATATGCAAAAAATCTAATCAGCACAAAATAGTCTCCAAGTTCTTAATAAATTTGGTAAATGACTGTTTCATTGATTATATTTTTTAAATGTCTAAAATTTATATCTAAAAGGTATGAATTTCAAACAAAAAAGTATCGGAGCCTAAGGTACAGAATCCTAAGTTCTGATTCTTGCACCAGGTTTTGTGCCAGCCAAGAGTACCCTCAGCATCTCTTTGTCATTCTGAGATTCCTATGAAAGGGGAGAACAGATTATGTTGCTTTCCCACAGCTCATGTGAGGCTTCCACTGTGTTTTTCCATGGGTAGCCAACCTTCCAGATTTTATCCTTTAAAATCTCTGCTTCCATCTCTCCTTCCTTGTCTTCAGTGAAAATAGTTCCTTTCCATACAAATTTGAGATTGCGACTTAAGATATCCCCATTCAAATGTCTTTTCTCAACCTGTTGTAGAGTCCTGCCCTTTGTTTGAAAAGAGAGAAACATCATGAACTTTACTTTTTGACCTTTGAACATTCACGGGAGAGACAGGGGAAAGAGGCGCACAGAGGCCCTGGAGACTGCCTGCCTATAAGCGGCTGTCATGGTTTGAGCTTCTAAAAGGGCAAGGCTGTTGCTAAGGAAACTGCTGCTCTAAGAAGGCTAAACACACAGTAAAATAGCAGGAAAGGAAGGCATAAATAAGTCAGATGCTTGGGGGAGGGGTGGCATGAGGCAACCTAAGAAGTTTAAACCTTTATTGCTAGGAACATATCAAAGGCTCTTGTGAGGGGAAAACCCAGAATCTATATCCCTTCCTAGAAAATAGCTGTAATTTAAAGGAAACCTAGACTGCATGTGATTTTAATTTTGCTTAGTATACAAGCAGAAAAACAGTGGCTGTCAATATTCCATTAATATTTAGAAAGTATGTAACAATTTTCCCAATTTAATCATGTCCATTTGTGACATTTAGTATCATAAGAACATATCTGCAATACTCAAAAGCTTTTATTTTGTAGCCAATGCTTAAAAAGTAACTAGTAACTATAGAGGTGGTGACTTTGGAAATTATGTAACATATGTATTTTTAAATGAATAACTTTTCTTAAAAGTAGTTATGCCCGTAGTTAATGGTGTATTACATTTATTTCTTGTTAATTACTTCTAACATTCCTGTTAATTACTTCTAACACAATAAGCCTTGAGTGACTTAAATGAATACATTTGCAAAATTAGGAAACATTAAAACATTTTTAACCTTATGCTAAATACAGAAGGAGTATAACTTCAATGGCATTTTCCTATTAACATAAAATAAGTCATTTTATGCCAGTGAAAGTTAGATTTTTAATATGTAATGAGTTGGTACAGCATCTAACATGAACAATCTTTGGACCTTTCATTGCCATGGCTTGTAAAAACATCTGCTTGCATCAGCAAACATTTCCTTTCCTTCTATCCTCTCCTCTCCCAGAATAAGTCATCAGTCCAGAGCTATGCTATCTAGGTTGCTGCATTATTAAAGGTATATTGTTGATTAAATATCATGTAATCTAAGCCTTTCATTTAACATTTTATGGTATCTAAATAATGCTTCTATTTCTCATTTCTGGGGCCATTTTTAAATACATTTATGAATAGGAGTCCACAAAATTCCAAGTTCAAAGTCATACAGCTACCACCAATACACCTAAAATTTTGGCTTTGAAAATATCCACCTCCTTGTCAGGCTACAAAGATTTTTATTTCAAAGGATGTTTTACCAGAGTGAGTATGTAAGATAGACCCATGGGTGGGGGGGCAGTGCCAAGATGTCCAAGAGGGGGCAACACCGGAATGCAGCTCCTGGCAAATGGGATACAGAGGGTTAGAGGATTTCACGATTCCACGTGAGGTGCTGGGTTCATTTTGGGGGGACTGGAAGGACTCTGAAAGTAGCCCAGGGAGGGAGCCAAATCATGAGCGAATTCCCATTTACAATTGCTACAAAGAGAATAAAATACCTAGGAATACAACTAACAAAGGACATAAAAGATCACTTCAAGGAGAACTACAAACTACTGCTCAAGGAAATAAGAGAGGACACAAACAGATGGAAAAACATTCCATGCTTATGGTTAGGAAGAGTCAATTGAGAAAATGGCCTTAGTACTCAAAGTAATTTATAGATTCAGTGCTATCTCCTTCAAGCTGCCATTGGCTACTTTCACAGAACTGGAAAAAAACACTTTAAACTTCATATGGAACCAAAAGAGAGCCCACATAGCCAAAACAATCCTAAGCAAAAAGATCAAAGCTGGAGGCATCACTCTACCTAACTTCAAACTATACTACAAGGCTACAGTAATCAAAACATCATGGTACTGGTACGAAAACATATAGACCAATGGAACAGAACAGAGGCCTTGGAAACGATGCCACACATCTACAACCATCTTTGGTTGTACATCTTTGACAGACCAGGTAAAAACAAGCAATGGGGACAGTATTCTATGTTTAATAAATGGTGTTGGGAAAACTGGCTAGCCATATGCAGGAAGCTGAAACTGGACCCCTTCCTTACACATTTACACCTTATACAAAAATTAACTCCAGATGGATTAAAGATTTAAACATAAGAATTAACATCACAAAAATCCTCAAAGACAACCTAGGCAACACCATCCAGGACATAGGCACAGGCAAGGACTTCATGACTAAAACACCAAAAGCATTGGCAACAAAAGCCAAAATAGACAAATGAGACCTAATTTGTCCATTTTGGCTTCTGCACAGCAAAAGAAACAATCATTAGAGTGAACTGGCAACCAACAGAATGGGAAAAAATTTTTGCAATCTACCCATCTGTCAAAGGGTAAAAATTTTTGCAATCTACCCATCTGTTTGTGTCCTCTCTTATTTCCAGAATCTACAAAGAACTTAAGCAGATTTATAAGAAAAAAAAATCCATTCAAAAGTAGGCGAAGGATATGAGCAGACATTTTTCAAAAGAAGACATATATGTGGTCAACAAATATATGAAAAATGCTCTTCATCATTGGTCATTAGAGAAATGTAAATCAAAACCACATTGAGATACTATCTCACACTGGTTAGAGTGGTGATCGTTAAAAAATCTGGAGACAGCAGATGCTGGAGAGGATGTAGAGAAGTAGGAACACTTTTACACTGTTGGTGGGAGTGTAAATTAATTCAATCGTTATGGAAGACAGTGTGGTGATTGCTCAAGGATCTAAAAATAGAAATTCCATTTGACCCAAATAGCAATCCCATTACTGGGTATATACGCAAAGGATTATAAATGGTTCTATTATAAAGACACATGCACACGTATGTTCTTTGCAGCTCTGTTTACGATAGCAAAGACCTGGAACCAACCCAAATGCCCATCAATGATAGGCTGGACAAAGAAAATGTGGCACATATACACCATGGAATACTATGCAGCCATAAAAAATGATAAGTTTGTGTCCTTTGTAGAGACACGGATGAATCTAGAAACCATCATTCTCAGCAAACTGATAAAAGAACCGAAAACCAGACACCACGTGTTTTCTCTTATAGGCGGGTGATGAACAGTGAGTTTGGCACTGGGAAGAGAACAACACTCTCTGAGCTAGGTGTAGGGGTGGAGGGGAGGGGAGGATGGGGAGGGATAACACGGGGAGAAATGCCTGATGTATGCGACTGGGGTGGGGGTGGTTGGCGGGAGATGGAGTCAGCAAACCACCATGGCATGTATGTACCTATGCAACAATCATGCAGGATGCAGGATGTGCGCATATACACCAGAGACCAAAAAAATAAGGTCAAGAAACATGTACTTTCCTATGCGTAGCATTGTGTAGATTCCAGGGGAAGGGTGTGTGTGTGTGTGTGTGTGTGTGTGTACACACGAGCATGTGCATGTGTATGGGTGTGATAAGAACAAAAGAGAAATTAAAGATATAAATGTAGTTTGGCTGGAATCTAGAATCTAACAAAGTTACTTGGAAGGAACCCAGCTTATCTTTTATAAGTGCTTTAGTTCAAGTAGGTGTTGTCTTCAAGAGCTATGCAAGCTTTGGGTTTTAAGTAAAACCTCCAGTGTGTGCTTTGTTGAACTCAGCAAGCCAGGTTGGGAACCCTCCCCAGTACGTCCTTTGGGACTTGCAGCACGTCCCCAGATTTCATTGTTTATATGGTATTGTTTGGCTTTGTTATATAGATAAAGTGTATTTCTAGAACAAAAGAATGTTTTCTTTTAAATTGATGCTAATTTCTAACCCAATATCTTTTGTAGATATTTTCAGAGAAGTTCTTGAGCTCTTAGTGATACTAAACAGTCTTAAGAAAAAATCAAACAGACAAACATTCCAAATGATGTAAGCTGATTTAAGTTAATTGTTAAAGTGGAAAAAGCAGGAGTAACATAAAAGAAGGAAGATAGCTGGGAACATGAAGGTTAATTAAGAAAGTGAAAGGCAGATTAAAGTGGTTCATTTGTTTTTAAAATTCTTTTTTCAAAAGTTACGTTTTATTGTGTTAAGAACACTTAGCATGGGAGCTACCCTGTTAACAAATCTTAAGTGTACAATATGGTATTGTTGCCTGTAGGTACAGTGTTGTACAGTAGATTTCTAGAATTATTAATCTAACTTAATTGACACTTTATGAACATCAACTACTGAGTCTCCATTTTCCCCTCACCCCAGCCACTGGCAGCCACCAGTCTACTCTTTGATTCAATAAGCTTTTTATTTATTATTTTTGAGATGGAGTCTTGCTCTTCTGCCCAGACTGGAGTGCAGTGACATGATCTGGGGCCACTGCAACCTCTACCTCCTGGGTTCAAGTGATTCTCCTGCCTGTCAGCCTTTGGAGTAGCTAGAATTAGAGGCATGTACTACCATGCCCAGCTAAATTTTGTATTTTTAGTAGAGACAGGGTTTCACCATATTGGCCATGCTAGTCTCGAACTCCTGACCTCAGATGATCCACCCAACTCAGCCTCCCAAAGTGCTGGGATTATAGGCGTGAGCCACCTTACCTGACCTGATTCTAAGAATTTGATTATTTTAGACATATAAGTGTAATTGTGAAGTATTTGTCTTTTCGTGACTGTGTTATTTCACTTACTCATCAGTTATAAGACCTGACTGAATTCCAAGCACTGTGCTAGGTACAGTGTAGGAATATATTATTAAAAACATGCAGTTCATTTCCTCAAATAGCTCACACTCTAATATGTGACCTAAAAATAGAATTTATGGAACTAATTATATAGCTTTCCATCTGACTTATTTTCTACTTGATAGCATTTAAATACAAGAAAGTATTAAAATCTTTATATCCTTTCACAAAAGATGAAGATAATATTTCTGGATTAAAATGAGAATCTGTTTTTTAATACTACTTTTTGGTTAGTGATGGACTTTGGAAAAATATCAACAACATATATTCTAATATATATATATATATATATACACATTAGTGTGTGTATATTACACTAATTACGTTTTAAAATATGCAAGCACTATCACACTTATCATTTTGCTTGATTTGCACAAGGTCAGTGTAGGATTTATTACTGAAGCCATTTGCTTTGTCAAAGGCACTTGGCTAGTACAAATACCCTTCTTCCTTCTGTCTTCTGAAACTATAGGCAATTTATTTTTTTAAAAGAATATTTAGTGTGATTCTAAACGTATTACACTGTATATATTTTAGAGTGAAAATAAGTATTTTTATTGGGATTTAAAATATGAACTGCAGTGTTATAAAGTACACATATCTTAAGTGTATATATAGATTGATGAAATTTTGTAATATATCATGTAGCTATCATTGAGATTTAAGTACACAACATGTCTATAGTGCAGAATTGCTGCGATGCACCTTTTGAGTAACTAGTCCCCTCTCCTCCCACAACGATGACTTATGAAGTTAACTACTATTCTGACTTGCATTACTGTAGGTTAATTTTACATGTTCTTGAACATTGTGTAAATGGAATCTTTCCGTATATTGGCTTTTGTGTCTAGTTGCTTTTGCCTTGCATTTTAACTGCAAGATTCATCCATGTAGTTGCTTGAATGTAGTTTTAAAAAGTTTCTGTATAGTATTTCAGTATATTCTGTAGTATGAATGTTATTTTTAAATACTTGGTACCATTGATGGTTATTTCAATTATTTCAAGTTTTTGGCTATTATAAATAAAACTTCTATGAGCACCTTGCACAATGTCTTCTTTCCTCCAGTGGACATGTGCAGAAATCTCTCTCTCTCACACACACATACACACACACACACACACACACACACCCCTCAATGAGTGGAACTATGATTACTGGGATAGGCATATATTACACTTTAGAAGACACTGCCAATTTTCCAAAGTGTTTAAAACCAGCTTATATTCCCACCAGAAATTTAAGACAGTCCTAATTTATTTACTTTCTCATTGATTTAATGATGCTGTCAGTATTTTTGATTTTAGGTATTCTGGGTGTGTTTATAAAGGTTTTTCAATGTGGATTTAATTTACATTTCCCAAATGAATACTCTTTTTGAGCAGCTTTTCTTGCACTCATTGGCTAGTTGGCAATTCTCTTTTGCTCCTGTTTAAAGTCTTTTACACATTGTAAATTCTAAGCCAAAATAACAAAGACAGAGGTATCACACTACCTGACTTTAAACTATACTTTAAGTTTCCAGTAACAAAAACAGCATGGTACTGGTACAAAAACAGACACATAAACCAGTGGAACAAGATAGAGAACCCAGAAGTAACCACCTGAAATTTGACAAAGCCAACAAAAATAAGCAATGGATAAAAGACTCCCTATTCAATAAATAGTTCTTGGATAAGTGGCTATCCATATGCAGAAGACTGAAACTTGACCTCTAACTATCACCATATACAAAAATTAAAATGGATTAAAGATGTAAATGTAAGACCTAACACCATAAAAAAAAAAAGTCCTAGAAGAAAACCTAGAAAATGTCCTCTCTAGATTGATCTTGACAAAGAATTTATGGCTAGGTCTTTAAAAACAGTTCATGTCAATTAATGATGTCAAGCTACAAATCATTTGAAGTTAAAACACAGCCATTGGCAGGAATCAGTTTGTGATCCACTTGTTGGCCTCTAACTTCAGTTTTTTTTTATTGATACATTCCTTCCAGTTTGGA